ACACACACACAAGAGGGCAACAGAGGACAACATGAGAACTAACATAAATCTAGAAATTACAACAAAATAGGAATTAAACCAATAAAAACTAGAAAACAAGGAGCAAAGTAAAGCATAACATAACCAAAGCCATGACAAACAGCTGCGAAGGAGACGTTTTTTGCTCGTAAGTTTATATGAATTGGACTATGGCAGGCCGTTTTTACATTTATTGAAAGCACACTCCTCTCTGTTGCTCCGTTTGTAGATAACTAAAATAAGATTCTTCCTGATCAAATTCAAACTCCTAGACAGAACTGTAATGAAATATCTTCTAAGTTACATTTTTGGAGCAGAAACTGCATTTTAGAAAGTACAAAAAAAAACAAAATTATACTTGTAAGAATAAAGTTTTATATACCGGTACTTAGAATTTTTTACACATGAGTGGCCGTTTTTACATTTATCAGCTTTACTGAATATTTATTTATGATATCTGAAGTACCTTTCTTCATGGTTGAAAATAATACAAATGCTGACCAGCAACAATAGGAATATATAGATCTGAAATGTATTTCTAGACATCCACTACGTTTATTCTAGATGTGAAGAATGGTATTTTGTTTGAAATGGTCATTTAGAAATTTTTTTTTTTTTGCAGATATAAGTAATACATATTTAGTAAAGTAATACATATAAAAAACGGCTTGCTACAGTCAGTTGTGAACTCGATAACATTACAGGTTTATTTCTTGAATAGTGGACTAATGTATCTTTTTAGATGAAATCATCTGACAGCAGGTGAGGATGAAGCATTGTTCTAATGTATGGAACCTGTTCATCTCATGGGGTTCCTCCTCAGTTATATTCTGTTTTCTTTTACACAGTAAATACTAAGTGTCTGTTTGTAATCAATTCGGATGTCCCAATAAATAGATTATTTATATTAGCAGTTATCAGACCCATAGAATGGCTTCAGATTGTGCAAGTAGACACAGTAGGTTGTAATCACAGAGTTAATCTAATTCAAAACCTTAAAGTACTTCCTCTTTCCTCTTCATGTACTGTAAATAGACATAAATAAAAAGAAAGTCGCTCATATTAAACGAACCAAAGACAAATAATTCTCACATCCTGTCAACTCAGTTGTAGAATCCTCTCCCTATAAGTATTCAATTCTCTGTGAAAAAATGCAGATTATTCTTTAATAAGATCCTCGTCAAATGGATATCCAATGTTTGTTTTTAAGACCCTAATGTGTGTAATGGACCTAGTGAATGTGTTTTTTTTATTGTATGATCAAAACTACGGCAAAAATTGGACTAAATTGGGAAATAAAACAGCATGATTGACTGTAAGCAGAGTGAAGACTCCGAGTTTAACCAGCTAAACCAGCTCCTGACCATGTTAGCTCTGGGAAAAATGTTACTACAGTGACTGAAACACAGGCTGAGGGAACTCTCTTCATGAAATGGAAAGCTCAGAGTTTTGCTTATTTCAGGTTTAGAAAACCTAGACCCCAGATATACAACCTCTGATTTACCCTGATGATATCAAAGTCAGGAGTTGAAATGCATGAGTCACAGAACAGTTAGTGAGTCGTGGTGCAACCAATTTTTCAGTCACTACTCCGAGTTTTTGCACATACTAGTATTATTGTTTCTGATAGAAAGGGTAAACTTGTAGACACCCTCCACACCAGAAGAGGCGGGAATCCCCATAGCAACCTCTGACTCTACATTTCAGGACCACCTGGTTTCTACCTGATTTAGCTGTGGGGGGTTCTTGTAAATCATCTAGTTAATAGGAATCAAACCTGCAGGACATTCCAGATTAAGATCTATAGTAAAATATTTTGGAGATGAAACAATGTAGTGCTAAACTTCTTCTGTTTTCTGTTCCAGAAAAGATAAGCTGAGCACAGCAGAAGGAACAGCTGTGGTTCGCGATATGAGGGAGAGGGCCAAACTGGGAGTCAGCTTCTCATACTGTAAGTATGGTTATTCAAAAATACTTTGCTAACATGCCCCATTTCTGTTAAAGTAGTGCATTATGGGCCAAGGTGTCATGTAACAAAGTACAAATACTTGTTTATCTTACTTAAGTAGAAACATTGGCTATCTATACTTTATTGGAGTAAAAATTTAGGTAACTTTTATCTTTCTATTCTCTACCTTTTTTTTCAATTATCTCTACTTTCTACTAATTACATTTTAAAAATAGACTGGTTAGTTTTTTTCATTTAAGCTCATTTTTGTTATGGCCTGTTAAAATAAAACTATCAAAATAATTAGTTTCAACCATACAATTAATTTGCACCAAATTGTTGTTCACCACATAGTAAAATAGATTGCTTTTCAGGATGATTATAAGTTAAATTTGAAAATGTTGCCATTAGTAATGAAACTAATGCGATAAAGTATAAGATAGTTATCATCCAGAATTGAAGAAATTATTTCCTTTAATATGGTTGTGCAGTAAAGCATCTGTCCTTAACAGTTTTTTCCTATTACTTTTATACTTTAAGAAGTTTTGAAATGGTACTTTTACACTTTTACTTGAGAAAAAGCTTAAGTTGATACTTTAACTAACAGTAGGATTTCTTCTTCTACTTGAGTAATAAACATTCATACTTTTGATACCTCTTATTTTGGGTAAATAATGCCAAAAATTGTGCTTCTTACATTTGATACCTTAAATAGTCTCCCAAATCAGCATATAAACTCCCGCCTTATGGTTTTTACCCACAGTCACCCCCTACAGCCCATACTGGGTCCTCACCACCGACTACACCAGCCTGGTTGTGGTTTACTCCTGCAACGACATCTTCCGTCTGTTCCATGTAGATTTTGCCTGGATCCTCTCACGGTCACGCTCTCTGCCTGAGGCGACGGTACACTACGCCAAAGACCTGCTTACCAAAGAAGGAATCGACATCAGTAGAATGAGGCCCACTGATCAGAGCTGCACAGACCTCTTTTGAATACCTGATAATCCCTGCAGAGAGAATCAGATCCAGAACGCTCATGTCAAACTAGTCCTGTTCAGAAAGTCTGCTTTTTGAAATGCAGAACAGAAGTGTAACCAGCAGTTGTATACAATGTGATTTAATAGATATTTCATGAAGAACAGTAATAACTGTTTTTGTGATGATGTAGGCTTTATATATTTTTCTATCTAGTCTCTTTGAAATTATTAATCGACCGGAAAGGAAGTTACCGTATATATGTGATTAAGAGCTAAGCTAATTAAAGGGTGTTGTTTATTGCACTGTAAGAGTGTGAGTTAGAATATCTGTCATGATTAATAAATAATGCACAATCGCTTTGTCTGTTCTTATTGTGGAAGTTCTACAAACTATAATGTTTGTTCTCCTCTTTTAATGAACTGATTAAAGTAGTTTTTTCCTCATTGAACCAAAGCATATTTATTAGGACTGCAACTAACCCAGCAAACACGTCCAGGTGGGGCCCATATGGGCCTCACTTGGGCTGGATGGGCTTCAGCTGTGCATGGGCTCAGAGTGGGTTCTGTTGTTGGGACCCATGTGGGAGAAACCTGGGTGCTCATGTAGGCTTTAGATGGGGGCCCATGTGAAACCCACCGTCAGCCCATCTGGACTAAAATATCTGGGACCCAGCTGGGCAGCCCGGATGGGGCACACTGTGCTGACAGGGAACGATTATTTTGCAAACCATTTCATCTGTTGATTATTTTTTTTAATGAATCAATTAATAATCAGATAGCCAAAGGTTCTTTAAAGAAGACCTTAAGCAAAATTAAACCAGGTGAAAATAAAGCTTTTCCATTTGAGGATTTCTGGATAGAGTATATTTACAGACAAAAAAGATAATTATCTTAAATGCAAAATGTTTACACATTTTATTTTTTCATCTTGGTATAATTACTGCTCTGTCTGTCAGCTAAAAACATGTTTTAGAGCAGCGGTCACCTACCTTTTTACAGTTGAGGGCTAATTCAGGGGCACTGAGTCACAGGAAGGGCTACCAATACTGACCTATGAATGGCAAGGGTCAACGTTCACCTAAACTTCATACATTATAAACATATCTTTATCTTTTCTTTAAATTTATAATTTTCTTATAGACATTTTCATTTTGAAATCTCTATGAATGCTTAAATGCCATATATGATTAAATGATAAAATCTTCTATAACCCTATTAAAAAAAGAAGAGCAAAAGAATACAATGAAATTTCAAACGTAGCTCACTGTTGTTCTATTTTCAGAAGACTCTAAGGGCACCCCTTGTGGTCCTTGAGGGCCCCTTGGTGCCCGCGGGCACCATGTTGGTGACCCCTGTTATAGAGTCTCTCTCTACTCCACTTAACCCTTAATCGATTACTAAATTAGATGATGATTATTTCAATAAACAATTAATCACAATTCATCCGATTAATCGTTTCAGCCCTAATATATTTCATATGTTGATCTCATATTTTATTCTTTAACCATTACATTGTTTAATAACCATTATATTCACTTTTAAAGCCTTTGTTTAGACTGAACTTCACCATTGACTGTAGTTTTGATCTGACAGATGATCAGAAATTGTGCCAGATGCGATACAAGTTTTAATTTTTACTTAACTACGTTATGTTTAAACATGTAGCACTTCCAAATAGAGGGTACACAGTATTTTCTATTAACAAAGAAGAAATTGGCAAATTCTATCACTTTTTTCACACTTATAATAGATAATGCAAACCCCAAAGCGGCATTCTACACATTCTTTGAGTTTTTAAGAATGCATACAAAGGATTGACGGCGCTAATCAAGTTAAAACAAAAGAAAATCCCAAGACTGATTTAAGTGTATGCAAATCTCTGTAGCTTATCCATAATCACGGCTCCAATGTTTCACCTTGCACCCAAAATAGTTGTGGGAGGAAAGGTTACCTGATTTTGGATGTGCCTGAATTTCCTTTGAAAGCAGTTGTGGAGAATTGCATGCACACCACCTAAAGCCTTACTTTGAAGTTATCTGGTATAAATGGGATGTTCTGTGGTGCACAGTGAGAACGCCTTCAACCGCACTGCTAAAACAGTTTGCTGCAGAAAAGCAGATGGTCTTTTCTCCTTTACAGTAAGATTGAAAGTTGTTGCTGTGCAGCAGAAAGCAGCCCCACTTACCAAAGGTACATTAGGGGTATGATTGATTTAGTTGCCAGACAGATGGAGAACGGCTGATGATATGAAACAAAAGGTTTCATGAATGCTGCAGAGAGGACCGAGGCCTCTCTACAAGGGTGGCTTGATCTACCACTGCATCTCATTCACCTGTCTAATTCTGCCCTATTTCCAATTACCGCTCATCTGATCCACCTGCTCCAGTTATCTGGGCAGATTATCTGAGGGTTTTTAGTGTTTCTGATGTCCTAATCCTGTTCTGCCTCTCATCCACTGAGCTTGCCTGTTCCTGTCTGAGAACTCCTGGAACCCTGAACCAGCCTGTTACTGTTCTCTTACCGGGTTTTGGACTCCTGGACCTTCTGTTCTAGCCTTCCTGTTCTAATCTGTTTCCCTGTCTTGGCTCGGACTCCTGCTTGTTCTCCAGGGCTGCAGTATCTCACACTGTGGGTGGCGCCCACCTCACCGGCTAGATCCTACCTCGTTCTCTGACGATGAGCTTAACTGTTTAACCAGGTTAGTTACTCACATGGACAATCATCCTCCATTGGATTGTTGCAGTCACTAACCTGTGTTTCTCTGTAACCAGAGCTTCCGGTTATAGACGCCCTAGCCACAGCTACCATGGATCCTAAACCCGCTCCATTTTCTTAATAAACACTCTGAATAATCCCACTCTCTCTCTCTTGCATGAATATTGGCTCCTTCTGTCCTGGATCATGACAGCATCACCGCACACACACACACTTGAATTTTCGAAAATCTACCATCCTGCAAGATCCTGAAGTTCTTATGTCAAAGATGTGTTTTTATTGAACATACAGAAAGTGCAATCAGTGCTTTATTATAATCAGGATATATCACCAATGAAGACAAACCAAATAAAAGCTTAAAAAAACCTGCTTTCATTTATTTTTACTCTTTCTTCCCCTAAGCAGTTCAGTTGAATAGCAATGTTATCCAACAATACATTGTCACCCTATATATGTTAGAGTTGATAATCATTTAAAGATCATAAAGCTTTATGATTCAGATGTTTCTCTTTTTATACAAATAGAAAAAACAGAATAAAAAGTAAACATCTACAAGGATCCTTACCTAAGCTTTCAAAGCGCTGAAGAATTTATGGCTTGATAATTGGAAAGATAGTGAAGACGATGTACTTTAAACCAAAGCCAACACTGTGATTTGGTTTATTCAACAGCAAAGTAAATTTCCCTTCCATCAATAATTAAAAAAATATGGTTCATTTAAAAACAAGTCATATTTTCCTGATTTTAGCTTAAAAGGAGGCAAAGTTTAAAAATATGCCAACAAATCATACCAACAAATATACCAAAGTATGAAGTTTTTGGAGAGGTAAATGTATAAAATAAAAGCCAAATCGCTATCTAGTTCTCTTTTTCTCCACTGCCATCATGGTCTTCCTCTGGAGCGCAGTCCTGCTTCGTGGGCTTCATCGCAGCCACATGGATTCCTTCTCTCATCAGCATCTCTTTGCAACGCTGCACAGTCTCATCAGGCAGGGATGGCGAGCGTGACAAAATCCAGGCAAAGTGAATATGGCCCACACCAAACATTTCAGTGCAGGAATACACTACGGTAAAATTGGTGTAGTCGGTGGTTAGAACCCAGTATGGCCTGTAGGGAATAACTGAGAGGTTCCACACAAAATTAAAACCATTTAAAGAAGAGAAAGAGTAAAGAATAAAAAAGAAGACATTCTTACATCTTGAAAAGCTGACTCCAAGTTTTGCTGGTTCACGAGGGTCCATAAGCTTAGCCGTCCCCTCTACCTCCATCCTTGTGCCATTACTGGAACAGAGTTCATGGGATTTCAGGGCTAATAATTAAATTAAATTAATAAATAAATAAATAAATTTAAATCTCTTTATAAGCCCTGAGTTGTTATTTTTTACAGAGACATGAGTTCATTCCATAAAAGATTACGGCCTTGATATAAAGAAGTCAGTTTTCTTAGCTAACTTTAGTAAAACTCCCGAGTTTGAAGTTCGAAGAGTTCGTGTTGAGTTCGTAGCTTTATATAGTAGTCCAAAAACATTTTTGGGCTCAGAAAACATGCAAACCCCCCCGATATTAGCGTTGCTTAAAGAAGAACAAACTATGCAGTCTTTAATTATACTCACTAATTTTGAGTACCGTAAAATGTTTTGCTTTTGGCTGTCTGGTGCGCCTTTCTTCGTGTGTGTGACAACAATCATAACTAACTCCAACATTTAACCTTATTTTCTTGATTAAAATGCACAAAATAAATATTCTTATATAATGTCCTTATTAGATCAGATTAACTGGGCAAAATATTATAATGTTTAAGTATTTTCATACTTGCATTAGAGTGAATGAAATAGTTAAAAAAAAATCTACTGGACTTGGTTTCCAAGTTTGAAGACGATTCACATCCCATCCAGGAAGCTTTTTCAATTGCAAATGTCAGACTTAAGGCCAATTTTTGCTTCTGATGCATAGCCTCTGCAACCGTCAAATCTGTCTCTGTGCACGACCACGCCCCCGCGCAGAGGTTCTGCAAATGTCCTCGCGCACCTCAAAAACAATCCTGACTACTCGTCAGACGATCGCAAACCCGCACAGTCCTCAAGCGGAAGTGCGCAGAAAAAAAGCAGCTGTGATTGGCCTTGGTATGCCTTTCTGGCTGTCTGTGTGGTTGTCCTTCTGGATTCGGTGCCGGGACATGCCATTTTTAAAACCGAGGAACAACTACAATGGACAACTACGATGAAAGGTTAATTGGTCTTTTTGCCAACTCCATTAACAGAACCTGTTGCTCTTCAATGTCTAGCAATCAAAATTCTCATGAGTTCTCAAATAGGCTCCCCCTTGCTCTTTGACTGGAAACTAATGTCTGTCCCTAGAAATTCCAGACAGACGGTGCAGAAGCATACCAGCAAAACTGGTTTGCGACCAGACCCAAGCGACATTTGATGTGTGCGGTTGCAGAAGTCTAATCTGCCTTTTAGTGTTGAGTTGAAAGCTTTATATAGTAGTCCAAAACCTTTTTTTGAACTAGAAAACGAGCAAATTTAACCGGGAGAACGGTTCCCCCCTTTGGGATTGGGGGTTTTTTTGGTTTTTTTTTGGGCCGGCATTACTTGTTCTTGTTTTTTGCCACCCCCCCCCCCCTTGCGGGGGTTCCAATTTTTTGGCTTGGGCGGCCGGGCCACCATTGCCCCCTTACCACCCCCCTTTCAGAGGGATAGACAGTGTTATTTTTGTTGTTGTTGTCAGATAATCTAACAACTTGTTGCAAAGTTACAAGAAAAGCAGATCTACTCACACGACCTGAGAGTTGCGCACCAGGACAGTGCCATCATTTCTCAGCAAGTAGTTTGCTTCAATGCACTTCCCATAAGAAAAGTAAGCAGGGATCTTCTCTATCTCGTACCACTTTCCCATGTACTGTGAACAGAAACAAACAGAAACGTGTGATGAAGTTTATGGTGTTCAGGGAATGCATTAAGGTACTTATCAAAGCTGTACCTCCTGGAGTTTGAAGTCTGGCTGCACAGGCGGAGAGGGACAGCGCCCCCAGCGGACAGTCTGAGCTGAGATCAGAGGCAGCAGCAGCAGGAGGACGAAGCAGGAAGGTGACATGGTTGCTTTGGGAGCTGAGGGAAAACATTGCATGCAAAATAACCATTTACTAATGCATGTGCATACTTCAGGTGTGGAAATGTGAAGCAGCATGAAATCGGTGAGACAATCATAACTTTGCACTATTTGGAATTGATTACTGTATTTATAAGCTAACATTTTAACAAATCAATGGAGCTGCTAATCCAGTTGGTTTCACACACAAATAAAGGAATTCAAGAGATAGTATTGTAGATAATAGAGTAATACTTATAGCTGTGGTGTATGTTTTATATTATTCATATTAATAGACAAAGACAGATTCATTCATTTTGAATCATAATTCCATCCATCCATCCATTTTCTTTATAAGCTAGATCCCAAGTGGGGTCGCGAGCGGTGCTGGTGCCTATCTCCAGCTGTCTATGGTCGAGAGGCGGGGCACACTCTGGACAGATCGCCAGTCCATCACAGGGCAACATTGAGACAAACAGCCATTCACGCACACACTCACACCTAAGGAGAATTTAGAGAAGCCAATTAAGCTAACACTGAATCATAATTTTAAAGTGTTATTTTAGGGATTTGTTGGGACTACAACCTTAAACCTATACACCAGTTATTCTTGTGCCCTACCTTGTATGCGCCTATTTTGCACGGGCAAACCTGTTTTTGAGTTTAAGACAGGGTGCAGCCACCTTAGCCAAGTTTAATCCAGCTTGTAGAACCTAAAGCAGAAACGTCACGTGCTGTTTTGTTTATTTCATTATTGACATTTCTACACAAAGATGGATAAACTGTTTATTTTAATGACTTAAAAGAGTTTTTAGTGACATTTCGGTAACAAATTCAGCAATGCGTACCCTGACTGAAACTTTTGTACAGCTTTTTATTATTTAGATTATTTATCATTCTTTTGAATCTTGTTATAAAATATGGCTTTAGCTCAGGGATTCAGATGTGAAAAATAAAGAGATTTATAATAAAAAGCCTGAAGTCGATCGTATTCAGGTTTCATAGGTATGATGTCAGGGTTCTGCCCTTTGCTTGGGTTTATTTTTAAGTTTCTTTGTGTTCTGTGTCTTTGTAGTTTATTTCTACCAGTGCGGAGTTTTTAAATTATCCTCCGTTGCCTTACTGTGCTTGTTATCCTTTCCCCTTGGCTTCTTCCCAGTTGGTCCTGCCCACACCTGCTCCATATCTGCTGATTAGCTTGTCCTGGTTCAGTCTCCCAATATATACCTCTACCTCTGCAGTCACTCAGTGCTGGTTTGCTGCTTCCTCAGCTGATTCCCCACGTGAGTTCTCCCTGACATTTTGGTCATCTGTGTTTTGGTTCTCAGTATTTTTGAATTCTGCCTCCTGATCCAACCGTGACGTATGAAGTTTTGATTGCTTTTCCCTCACCAGAAATGATCTGTTTGAACTATGGCTTTGGCTACAGGATCCAAATGAGTAAATTGAAGGAAAAGTTACTCTGACGACTCAGTTTAAGAGAAACTTATTTATATAGCGTCAATTCACAACACATAATCTCAACCTTTCAGTGGCAGCTTGTCTAACGTTGAGAGATTTTTGTTAGATATTTTGATAGGTATATTTGCTTTCTGTAGTTTGTAAATGAGTTCTCTATGGAAGAGGATTAGGGCCACTGGAAGGGGGGAAAAAAAAGTTAACTGATTTGTAAATTTTATTTTAGTATAATATGAGAAAAAAGTCAGATTTCTGACTTTAATCTCAGAATTCTTACTTTAATCTCAGATTTCTGACTTTAATCTCAGAATTCTTACTTTAATCTCAGATTTCTGA